AGTAGGAGTAGGAGTAGGAGTAGGAGTAGGAGTAAGAGTAGGAGTAGGAGTAGGAGTAGGAGTAGGAGTAGGAGTAGTAGTAGTAGTAGTAGTAGTAGTAGTAGTAGTAGTAGTAGTAGTAGTAGCCGCAGTAGCGGTAGCAGTAGTAGAAGTAGTAGTAGTTGTAGTAGCAGTAGCAGTTTCTGAGGTAGTAGTAGTAGTAGTAGTAGTAGTAGTAGCAGTAGTGGTAGTAGTAGTAGTAGTAGTAGTAGGAGTAGGAGTAGTAGTAGCAGTAGTAGCAGTAGCAGGAGCACTAGCCACAGCAGCAGCAGCAGCAGCAGTTACAGCAGCAGCAGCAGCGGTGGTGGTGGGTGACGGCAGCACTCGAGCAGCAGGAACAGCAGCAAAAAGCCGCCAGCAAGAAGCGCTCTCGTCTCAGCTCTGTTTCGAAGGGCCGAGGCTGCAGCGTTCGCACACAGAAGTGGATGGACTGGATCACGGCGAGCGCAAAGTCGAGCCCAAGCCAAAACTTCGATGTGTTTAGCCTACAAGCGATGCAGAAACGAGCATTTTGGGCTTTGGCCATGATCCGTTTCTGCTTTTGGGCTTCGGGATTCAAGACGAACCCAAACGACTCAAGCCTGACACTCAGTCCATCTCTTCAGCAACAGCTGACCAAAGGGCTCCAGCCGCAAAAGCAGTAACAACTCATGCTACGCTCGGAAAACGTAATGGCACTGCAATAGCCCAAGCTCCTTCACGAGGCAGCTTCGACAAATCGGTTCCTGCCTCAGGCATTGCAGCTCTAATCTCAGCCGCCATGAATCCAAGTTGGACGTCGCTGCTGTTATGGACAGAAGCAAGCCGACACCTGGCACACGAGCTTCGATCACAAGACGAAGAATGCCAACAAATGCCAACAATTCTGACATGAACAGCTGTACAGATTGGCAAGTCTGCGAGGCTTGGCGCGATTCGCCGGCTTAACTCTTCTCACTTCTCTCCTTTTGGGATTTGCAAGTCTAAAACCCCAAGATGCTCCCTGAATTGTGCACTCCGAGACGTGCGATCAGTTGCATCTGGCCACAAAAACTGCGGCCTAGCAATGCGCCATACAGTCCCCCACCTGGGCTGCTTTCCAGATCAGAGCCGGTTCAGAACTCTAGATCGTGGCCCGGCGAGAGCCCACCAAGAAAATTCTTGGTTATCTGGCGATCCGGGACATGTAAGGCTGGACTCATGCAGGCTGCCTATGTTGGAAAAGGTCGCTCCAACAAATGCAATCTTATTACATTCTGGCTCCTGCACAGCAACATGCAGTTGATCCGATACTACATCATCACTCTTATGCTCGAGGTTGCTTGGCAGCCAGGTGGCTGAACGTAAGCTGCTGGAACTCATAGTCCCACGAGATCCCGCCACAATCTGAGCCGCAGGAGAGGCCCTGCAAACAAAGCAAAGGTGTGATCATAAACAAAGAGCCCTGGAAACCCGGAAAAAACTGCCTCGCTTGCCATCTGGATCACTGTACTGACATGATGCGGACACGAGGTTTAACCACCCCTTGTCTTAACCTGCTGCGAAGTCTGTGAACCTGTCTGGCTGCCATTAGCGCAAGGCATTCCAGCGCAATTAACCCCCAAGATGCACGGCAAAACGCGGTGTCAACAACTCTCGAGGTACAACTAAGTTTTCCAGCATGAAGAACACCGTCGAATTCCCTTGAGCCAGGAAAACGAAGGCATTGACAATGCAGTATTTGGGCAACACCCCCGTTGTCAGCAAGCGTGTTGTTATAGGCTCGAGTGCCTTAGCCATGCTGTGATCTTGCACCTTCATTGCTACAAGCTCCGTGTGCTTACGGACAAGGTGCTGGCAAGATTCCAGCAAATCTATGTGCTGTAGCCGAATTTTCTGCTTCCTTTCCGCGCTCCCCTGTGCTGGTGTGATCCAACTGGTTGTGTCCGCAAGGTCCCCAATCTTCAAACTCATAAACAGAAGGTACGGGCTAAGATGCTGAACTCCTAAAGCCAAAACTCAACCGTGAATTAAGCCTTCTACATTTCTGAGCCCTTGTGGGGCTGGCGGCATGTCATTCTTTTCGCTCCATCCTTCGCCGTGGCCAGTCCCGTCGTTTGGATCCAGGCGCACGTTGGCTGATGCTACCAAATTTGTTGGCTTTGAGTTCAACAACGTTCCGCATCTTAGTGTGGGTTAGCAAGACAGTTTGTCATGGCATCAGCATCCAATCAAGGGAATTGATGGGATCTTTGATAAAACACCAAAAACACCATGTGCATGAACATCCCATGAAAGAAATTTGATCTTTTGTCACGCCCCTGACCCTTGGCATGAGCATCCCAAATCACAGCATCCCGAAGCATTTACCAGCCCACTGCTGGGAACTGATCAACCGTCCAACAGCTCACTGTCTCAAAGTCAACAACGAGCAACATGTCGCTTTCAAGGTCCCTGGCAGCGACATCTGGAAGTGACATTTGGCAGCGACATCAGGAAGCAGCATCCAATCACGAGCACAGACTGATGAAAAACCTTTGTACTGTGCTGTCTAGTCTTTGGGCAGATGCCGTGTTGCTTCAGCTTGCTTTCGGATCAAACAGTGATATGCGAGGTGGTCAATATGAGGAAGTGTCTCAGCTCTCACAATGTTTGTCGCTTCAACTACCGAGCTACTGCACTGTTCTCACAGACCTTCGGCACACACGGCTCACTATCGGGCTCCCTATCGGGCGGCCTTCGGAGCCGCCAGGTGACATTGCAACCCGAAGCTTCCGATTCCCAAATTCAACTTAACGACGCGCAGGAACTGCTGCGGAGGACGACAACAAATGCCTTTGTTCAAGCCCGCCGCCGAGCTTAACTCCGCTGTAATGGGAGTCTCTGTGTTTGTTCTGCGTTTGGGAGACGGGGTGTCCCTTTCTCGCGTCGCAGAGCAGGTGGTGGTGGCGCAGACGCCTGCAGCTAAGAGGGCACATCCCATCCCAACGGGTGCAATTTATGGGTTGGAAAAAGGCCGTGGACATCTTGTCCGTCACAGTTCAACAGGCTGCCGCAGGTGCTGCCCTTGGCCGCACTCGGCCAGCGTTGGGGGGCCACGACGGGCCAGAGCTAGACCAGGTTTTAGCCCGGCTGAGCCGGAAGACATGCTGAGCACAGCTTAAGGGGGCATCTTCGGCGAAAGCGCGGATTTGGCCGGATGTTTCACAGGATCTCAACAGGCGCACTGCTGAGATCGACACGTTCAAGGGCTCGAGAGCGTGCCTTTCCCAGTTGCAATGAGCTCCTCAAGATGCTGGTTAAACCCTCCTGGAACCCAGGGCGGATTTGATGCTTTTGATGCTTTTGATCCCTGTCGCGGATAGCATCGGCATCCAGAGCATCGGCA